AACGTTCGCGCACTATTAGCAAAGATCTCGGATTTAACCTCTATTCTGAACACACGCATTAATTCCAACACATGTGTTGTTTGTATGCAAGAAACATGGCTAAACCAAAACATCGAAGACGTTCTCGTGCGAATAGAAGGGTTTGGTTGCTACCGGCAAGATAGATAGCGAAGTAGGGAAAAAACCGGAGGCGGTGTGGCTACTTTCCTGGTGTGACAAGTCAGAAGCTATATTTAACTACTCTGAAAAGTGCATTGACTGTCTGTTTGTTCGTTGTCACCCTAAATTATCACGTCACAAAAGTACAATCATCATCAATGTGTATATATCTCCCTCGTGTACTCGGACCGGCATTTCTGCTTTCTTCGATTCCTATATTCCATTTCTAGTTCCATTATTAGATGAAAATCTCCACTTACTTATTGGTGATTTTAATCATACAAGCATTTCTCCCTTGCTTCTGTTTGGATTATCTGACCTTTCTCATTCTCCTACCAGAGGTAGAGTGATCACAAACGATCCCAACTTGTTCTCTCTCAAACTAATGGCCCCGGTTTCTACCAGTGACCATAGTATTCTTCGTGTTAGACCTAAAGTATACTCTCGCATTTCTTATCAAGCATTCACACGTTCTACTCAGATAAAATTTCATCTAAGGGATTTTTCACCCAACCGTATCTCTCTTCTCAACGGTTCTATTGTGATTGTTCAGTCCTGGTTTGGTTCTTGTTCTTCGCTTTTTAAATCTATCAATCTGTTCACTGATACGATTAAATCAATCTTTAACTTGTGCTGTCCAATGAAAACCTTATTTGTCTGTAACGGTAGAATCACCTCGCCTTTTTGAACTCACTGAGAAGGTACAAAGAACTGGCCTACAAATCTCGTCTTGCCTCACTTGTAAAGCACTATTCCGAGTTAATCAGGTTCGAGATAACGTGCCTCAATGCAATCTTCGCCGCCCAAATTCTGCGAACGAAGAACACCAGGCTCTTATGGCAAGGTATTCGCCTTCTCTGTGGGCAGAATAGAGAATATTCTAATACCTCTGTGGATGTCAACAGCCTCAATGCCGCTTTCATCCACCCGTCAAATGAGAGCCAGATTCCGTCATTCCTATGCAATGAGTCCACTTCAGTGCCTTTTTCCAATGATTTAATCTTTAACCTTCTTCGATCCTGCAAAGCATCAGCAGCTGCAGGCCCTGATGGTCTTCCTCCGGCACTTCTGAAATTTGGAGCAGCTTCCCTAACCAATATGATGATGACATCCATCGTCAATGAGTCCCTATCTTCCCGGTCGATTCCTGATTCTTGGCGTCCAGTGACCATTATTCCGATCTCCAAATCCACGTCCTCAACTGTTCTTTCGAAACGGTTTTGTCCTATCGCGTTGACCTCAGCGGCTCTAAAGATAACTTAAATAGCCATCTTGAGTCGGTTGCAGTCAGACACCACAATTCCCCATGACCCCCTTCAGTTTGCACATAAACCAAACAGATCTACATTGGACGTCGTATCCACTTTAGTGCATTTTTTCAGGAAGTCATTGAACCATTCGGTCAAGTCTGTCGTTGTGTTTTTCTTGACTATTCGTCTGCGTTTGATTCTGTTTCCCGATCATCTCTTCTTTCCAAACTTGAAGCTTTCGGCACTCCAAAACAGCTGCTCTCATGGCTTGCCGACTATTTCACACAGAGGGTCCAGTGCATCAAATTAGGAAGGAGGGCATCAAAACCTCTTGTTAATAATCCTGGTGTTCTTCAAGATGCTGTTCTATCTCCATATCTTTTTTCTGCCTTTATTAGTGATCCTCCGGTCCCCCATCCTGCGCACATCCAAAAATATGCTGATGACGTTATTTTTTGTCAGACAGTTTGACCTCCTTTGGAATTTCGTTCTTTTACTGAAATCCTATCCCACATCCAACAGTTTTCTGACCAATCTAGTCTCAGTCTTAACACATCTAAGTGCGTAGAGTGTATTTTCAGTCTTTCCCGCTCTTCATTTCCAACGGACTCTGCTATCCTGAACGGTAAACCTGTATACAGAATGACCTCCGTCAAGTACCTGGNNNTGTCACCATCGACAGCAATCTTCGTTGGTCTACACATATTTACAACTGTGTGGATAAACTGAGATGCCTATCTTTTCAGTTACACAAACTCAGGCAATTCCTAACCCCACAATCAGTCCTGTCATCTTTCGTTCATCAATGCGTTTTACTCATTCTACTTTATTGCTCTCCAGTAGTGTTTCCCGGTCTTTTAAAACACGACTTCAAAACAATTCGCTGCGGTTTGGTGATAATCAGTCGTGCATCACTAATCCCATTTGATTTATTAATCACAGATCTCATTGATGGTCACATCAACTCTTGTTTTAAATTTGCTCACAATATTCTAGATGACCCTCTTCATCCACTACACC